CCGGGATCGGACCCGGAGCAGAGAAAGAGAGAGTTGAGAGCAAGACCTGGGGCCGCTCCCGAGACTCTCGCTGCTGGTGTGGGTCAGAACGCCCGGGAATCTGTCTTCTGCGCGCCCTTCCCCTCCGAGAGGGCTAGTCAGACGCTTTAGGGACACAGGACCCGCTGGCTGAGTCCTCCGCGTGTCAGTGCCTGGGTTCCGCAAGGGGAGGGGAGGTGGGTGGGTGGGTGGGAGTTGAAGGTGAAAGAACATGAGTGTAGACTCAGGAACTTGGTCTCTGGTCTCTGTCACCTGCAGCTGTGTGACCTGGAGGCGTCTCCGTTTCCCCATCTTTAAAAAGCAAATGCTTTATAACTTTTCTTGCACTGATTTTAGGGATTCGGCCTCTTGCCATGTTAGACGCTCAGGTACCAGGTTGCCAAGATGTGGGATAAGTGTTAACCCAGTTAAGTCATTGCATCCACAGTCATAGCTCTGAGGAGGGGCAGGCCCAGCTCCCCTTGGAGGCAACACTATTTTCTACATCTCTCACTCCTCCCAGGCCCCAGTGGGGAAAGCTTGCTCTTTTCCAGGCTTCGGTGGGAGGGAAAGAAAGGGGGCTGCCCCAAGGCCCTGCCTGAGCCCGGCTGAGGCGGAGCTGGTGAGGGTCTCGTTAACAGTCCCCACAGAATAATTCACAACCTGTACTACACGGACACCGAATATTCCCTGGACGGTATCTGAGCAGATTAGGCAGGCCAAACAACTTGTAAGTCCTTCAGAGAAAGATCAAGTTCCTCTCCAGGATTTTATCAGGTTTCCTCCACTAACCCAACTGCCCAGGAGGGAAAACATACCCTGACCTAATGGTCAGAACAGTAGATCTGTGTGCCTACGGGCTGCATGGCACAGAAACTCACCAGAGCCCTTTAATCGCCATATGTCAACCCAGCCACTGCAGCACTGACAAAGTTCAAGGCCTCTGGGCAATATACAGGATCACAGGGAGCTGAGTCCCCAGCATGGAGCTCAGCATAGGAGGTAAGAGTAGGGACTCAGGAGTTAGACTCTGCGATCGAAACCTGGCCTAGCCTCCTCCTTCCTTAGCCATGTTACAACCTTTTTAAGCCTCAGTTTTCTCTTCTGTAAGTAGGTGTGAAAACTCTTCCCTCTTAGGGTTGTTACAAAGATGAAAATGAAATAAAGAATGAAAATCGCCCTAGCTGGTTTGACTCAGTGGCTAGAGCATCGGCCTGAGGACTGAAGGGTCCTGGGTTCGATTCCAGTCAAGGGCACATGCTCAGGTTGCAGATTCAATTCCCAGTAGGGGGCGTGCATGAGGCAGCCCACCAATGATTCTCTCATCATTGATGTTTCTATCTCTCTCTCTCCCCATCCCTTCCTCTGAGAGAAAAAAAATACAGAAATGTTAGCAGCCAACAGTTGACGGACAAATCTTCATCCTTTCTGGGTTTCAGTTTTCTCATCTATAAAATAAAGCACCTGAATTAGAGAAACTCTTGGAGGGACCATATATTACTGACTTTTATTCACTATGTCTAACATAGCAGAGGAACGCGTTAAAGTTTCCTTGAATGATCAGGCAGGGCAGACAATTCATCAAACACACCATTGGTGAGCACTGACTAATATACCACCATAGTATATATCCCTGTTCCACAGGCAGGCACTAGCTCTGGGATCCTCAAATGAATAAGACATACCCATGCCCTCCAGGGGTCCAGCATGAGTAGGGGTATAGGAATTCAGAGGAGGAAGAAATTGACATGACCAGGTCAGAGAAGACAGAAAAAGACTTCTCTGAAAAGAGGTGTTTGTTTTTTTGAAAAGTGGTGGTTTTTAAACTGATTTTAGAGTAAGGGTAGTAGTTTGTTAGAGAGGAGGGTATTGTACAAGCCAAGGAAAGAAAAGGGAATGTTTAATGGTGGTTGAACAGTGGGTTTATTTGGGGGTGAACTGGGATATGAGGCTGGAGAGGTATATCGGGGGCATTTGGTGAAGGGACTTGAATTCTGGGTTCAGACCTTCAGGTCTTATTGTGAGATTCTCTTCCCTGCCCTTCTCACCCAGGGCTACGTTTAGAGGTCGAAGACCATGGTGTCCAACTGTGGATATAGAGTTGCACAGAGCTAAAATGTAAAATATCCAGGTGAAATAACA